TATATATATATATATATATATATATATATATATATATATATATATATATATATATATATATATATATATATATATATATATATATATATATATATATATATATATATATATATATATATATATATATATATATATATATATATATATATATATATATATATATATATATATATATATATATATATATATATATATATATATATATATATATATATATATATATATATATATATATATATATATATATATATATATATATATATATATATATATATATATATATATATATATATATATATATATATATATATATATATATATATATATATATATATATATATATTGTTACAAACCCCTGATGTTAGTCTAGGGTTGTGGGGTTTGACATTTATTTAATTAAAATATATTTATATAAACAGTGAATGAGTGGAAAGACAACCAAAGTAATGCCAAAATATGTGTGTTTTTATTTACAATCCCAAAGTGAACGACAACAACGAATTAATTAAAAATAAAGAAAAAGTAAGGCAAAAATATACTATTTACAATATATACAACACTGAGACAAATAAAGACGGGAAAAAAACAAGAGAGCTGGCAGAAGGGACGCGGGCGGCGCTAAAGAAATGAAAAGAACAAAACCTCAACTAAATCTAACTTCCCAGAAGCATCTAGCTAACTATGTGAAAAACAGTTTAATTAACACACGAAGATCTTCCGAGTCTTAACTATCTACTCTATCTAGCTATCCAAAAAGTACAAGGAGTGGCGCTCGCCCCTAACCTAGTGTACTAGACAGCAGAGTAGTCCTATGTGTTGCGAAATGTTTGTCACGTGACCTTCTTACCTGTCCGCTTCGTCCAAGCCTCGTAAACAACGATAAACTAAGAACAATGTACGAATAACGGACGGATAACGTGCACACAGAACGAGCAACAACAAAATACACAGTTAGACGGGTTATTTCAAAACGCACGCGGTAAATACAAACAAGCGACAAAACAGCAAAAGAGAAAAATGCAAGCAAGAAAGAGCGAGTGGTCTGGCGCGCGCTTTTAACACTGGTGGTCTTTGCTTATTGGATGTGACGTAAGAGTGACGTAACCGGGGAGGAATGACTGACAGCTGAATGGACCAATGAACGGAACCTGAGAATACATGAGAGCAGATATGGGAGAACAGAGCGAGAGAGAGAGAGAGAGAGGGGAAAAAAACACAGAGAAACAGAGCACAAAAACACAAATACATAACAATATATATATATATATATATATATATATATATATGTAACCCACTCGCTTTCTGCGTGCTCGCTGGCCTCTAACACCACCGCTGCTACTCTGCGTTGTGTTGAATGTGTTGTGGTGTGGTAAACAGGAGATGCAGGCAAAGAGAGGTTCGCGATCGTGACCATTTATTCGACAGAAGGGCACCTATCAGTGTTGATAACACAAACTCAGTTAAATCTCAATACAATATCTTCAAAACATTCATTAATATTAACTACTGCCACTTATACTGCAACACAATGGCTTTGCATGAGCCGTACATTCCCTAAATCACTTTATAACAACAATATAAAATAAAACAACCTTTTAACTTTTTATATAACTCTGCATTTGCTCTTTAACAATTTAGTACACAGAATATCTCAGTAAACAAAACTCTTGAGCATTAATAACAAAGATGTATTTTAGATAAGGATCCTGCTATCATGAACACGTCTTACCTATCAGTGTTGATAACTCAAACTGAGGAAATTACGGCGCACTGCGCATTTATCAACACTACGGTATGCCAAGAAGCTCAAACAACACAAGAAACGTCAAAATACCTAAATAAAACAGTGTCATAGCAACATCTTGTGGACAAAACAAACACTGCTCTATATATATATATATATATATATATATATATATATATATATATATATATATATATATATATATATATATATATATATATATATATATATATATATATATATATATATATATATATATATATATATATATATATATATATATATATATATATATATATATACATATATATATACAAAATCAACATTTCAATAGTGAAAAATTACAATTACTAGTTTCCCTTCTTCCTTTTATTGCTAAACATTGCTAAGGCCTGATTTCAACCAAATTTCCAGCTTTCTAACACAGAATAGTTTGCTGGATGCAAACCAATCAGACTTCAATTTTAGACATTTCACTGAGACTGCTCTGCTCTCAGTCACTACAGTTCTGGTTATTGCGAAAACAGTTTCCAAATCATCTGTTCAACATACACTGGACCTGTCTACTGCTTTTTATATGGTGAGTCAGCATATTCTACTGTCCATTCTCTCCTTAATGGGCATTACTGGATCACCGCTCAGCTGGTAGGAGTCTTACCTCACCAGCAAATCTTTCAGAGTTGCCTGGAGAGGAGAGGTATCCAAAGCTTAGAGAGCTGTTCTCGGTCCCACTTCTATTTTCTTTTTACACCACATTATCTCTGCATAGATCAATAAACTATCACCTACAGCTTAACCTGGCAAAAACAGAACTTTTCGTCTTTACTGCAACTCCACACATCCTTCATCCATCTGGGAACATCTGCCATTACCCCATCTAACTCAGTAAGTAATCTTAGGGTGATTTTAGCTTTCCTTCAAAGAGCACATTGCTAACACAGCTTAATCATGCAGGTTTGCACTTTTCAACATGAGAAAGATCAGACCCTTTCTAACAGATCATGCTGCACAACTTGTAGTCCAAGTTGGTTTTGTTTTGAGACTGGACTACTGTAAAACTCTTCTGGCTGTAATCTTGCACCCTTACTTACTCTGTTACTCACTCACTATCCTTTACCTAAGTTCCACACACAGTGGAATGAAATGCCAATTACTTTGGCATAAATTGTATGCGATGGATGCCTTTCCATCTGCAACTGTGACAAAGGAGCTTGTCACTGGCCTGCGGCAGAGCTGTGCACCCACGTATTCACGCACACACACATAACTTACCTTCACTCCACCAGCCGATCTACCGGGTACACACGGAAGATTGCACTGTAATGGAACACATACACACACAAACACATTATATACTCCATTAATCCTTGCATATTCTGACACGCCATAAACCACACCGCATACATTTGTCTTACCTGTGTGTCCGTTTGTGTTTGTTCGTCTTGTTGCGTCTGTCTTCCGGGTTGCGCAATCGCGGCTACGGGAGGCAAAAGGGGCCAAAAAGGTCATGCGCTGCATTTTATGCACAGTGATGCGCTGCGCATGCGATGAGTGGTTTGGCACCCGGGGGAGACTATGTGTTTTATGTGGGGGATGAAAAGAATGGGAAAACAATGGAAAAAAGGAGTATTCATGACATGTGAAAATGCTGATTTAATAATTTTGGTTTTAAGTTATATGGTAATACAAATGAAGTGTATGAAAGTGTGAAATGCTTACCTGAAAGATTTGTTTATGTCCATACTTATCTTATACTTACCTTCAATATAGTTTAATCCAAACTGGGCGGAGTCACTCACTATAAATAGAGTGACTTGTGCTCAGTTCAGGGTGGGAGTTGTAGGAGTTAGAAGGTGTGAGTAGTGGCGAATGGTTGGTTTGAAAATTCTGGATAGCAAATATTTTGTATATAATTATTTTGTTACTTTATTGTTTTTATTTGTTTGTTTTGTTGTTTGTTTGTTTCTATATATATATATATATATATATATATATATATATATATATATATATA